TGGTCCATATTGGAAATGACAGAGCATATCTCCAGCACAGTGTGGATCACTAAGGAAATAATAACAACAAGAGTTAAATCAGATTTATGAGCTCACAGCAATCCCAAGCACTACGAGAATACCAGCACACTGACACTGAATTGGGAAAATGGCTCAGTGTTTAGGTGCTGCCCCTATCCTACAAACCTACACAACATGCCCCATCCCACAGAGGAAGTTTCAGGAGAACAGAAATATTTCAAGCTTCAAAATTGTGCTTTTTGAAAGTCTGGTCAGGACAGCAGGAACTGAGCACGCTCAGAAACCTGTTTTAAGAATTCAAACATACTCTATAGAAAAAAATGACTAAGCGAGACTGAAAAAGTGTTAAATCCACATATACTTGACACTATATCTGTGATGTTATCTTCAGTGGATGCAGAGCCCATGGAAATCATATCAACTAGTTCCATCAGCTGCTTCTGAAGGGAGTAAGTTTCCTTGAACATAGCTTGTAGGAGGTCGGAAATCAAGTGCAGGTGCCCACAGTAGACTGATTCACTGTCCTGCAGAAAATGGGAAACAAGGTTTAAAGAGAAGTTCAGGAATCACAGCCTGATTTTTCACATGCTAAAAACACCAAGAGCTCTGTCATACATTTCCCTGGGCAAAAAAGAACAAGGCACAGATGTACCTACTTTAACTCAATATACAACCAGGGCTGCAGTTTCTGCTCCCACCCCCTGATCACTAAATACAAAATGTGAGTCACCTGCAGCCTCATTGACAAATAATGAGGTCTGCCTGGCTCTGGTGAATTTAGGGGGTTCTGGATTAGGCCTCCCCAGGTGAACTTAAGATCATATGATAAACATCCATGGGTAAACCTAAGATCATATCTGACAATACAACACAATGTTAGCAACAAAGGAAGCAGCATTCCAAGTATTTCCCAATACTTTAAAATCAAAATTGTTAGATAAAGGTGTGGCACCTGAGTTTAAGTCCTAACATGGAAAACTGATGTAAAAAAAGAAAGAATGAAAGTGAAAATGAAAGGCAACCAAAAGCTCCCATGTCCTTATGATAACTTGGTTTTGCTTTCACTGCTTAGAGGGAATTACTGTTGCATCTCAAAGTCCAAATCTGAAAATGACAGATGTTACTTGAAGCCAACATAGAGATGCCAATCTCCATTCTCATTCCACTCTGGAACTTGCACAGAAATAAGGTAAGTCACACCATGCTGGTAACCACTGATAGCTCTGAAAATCCTGCAGCCATTAGGAGTGCACAGATCTCACAGAGTACTCCATTCATGAGCAAAATGTTCAGTGAACACTGATGCAAAATATGGAAATGGCACAGTCTGAGCCTCTCACCACCAGGTCATATTTGCTGGGCACACAGCTGAAAAATCACCTCTGTACTTGTGCAATAAGTGAACCATTGAACAGCTAAATTTAAATTAAAAGAGTTTGACAACAATATTATTTCAAAACAGGATCTTCTTACAAAGCGAGTGTTTCCTAAACCCCAAGGAGCATAGGGATGTTTTTCCTTCCAACAGAGACCTACCCTGCAGTGTGTGAAGCTGTTCTTTATGACATAGAGCACGGAGGCAGGGAGGGAGCGGAGGCTCCCCAGGGGCAGACACTCCCGCACGGAGCACACGGAGCGCACACAGCCCGTCAGGGTCTCCAGCAGCTGCACCACAGTCTTCAGGCAAGAATAAACAACAGCAGTCAATGGTTTTCACTCCTGCAATAACCTCCAAAGCATCTTTTCCCTGCTGAATTGCACCTAGATTTATATGGCATTCAAAGTTCACTATTTGCATAAATAAGGAGTTTGTTAAAAACGAGTGAAGCGCCATAAAATAATACTGAGCAATTCCGGATGTACTGTGAAAACTTTGTATTTCTTTGACTACTGTTCTCAGCTTCCAAAAATTTTAAAACTGAGAATTAAGTGACTGTATAAACAGGTGTCAGATTCACTCTTTAAATACGATGAATCACATGCCATTTGTGTAACTGCAGCAGAATTTGAGATGATTTTTTACATTATGATTAGCATCAGGTAATAGATGCAATCAAATCATTCACAAGATGGTAATTGAATTTCAGCTACAAAGGAAGATTAAATTACATTTTAACCACCAGTAGGTGGCAAAAATATTCTAAAAACCCCTCAATAGTTCAGGTAAAAGCAAAGAATGATGTAAACATCCCTTTGACAGGAACAGGACTTGCCTGTAGCAGGTTCCTTACAGTGCTGCATAACTCTGTGCTGTGGCTGGTTAACCCCTTGGCCTCACTGGATAACTCATACATCAGGTTATCAAAGAGCTGCAGAGTCTGTCAGAAGGAAACAAAGCTTAAACATTTCATTTATGAAGGTACACATGCAAACAGCAACACTGTTCAGTATCTGCTTGCTTCCTTGGTATGGAAGCACAGGCTACAGACAGAACTCCCAGGAGAACTTAATGCTTTCCAGCATTTCAGTCATAAAACTTGATGTGCCAAGAAGCACAACCTGTATGGTTTTCCCAAATTATAGATGTAAGCTGTTACTTCAGGAAAAGTATGTTAGGAAATAAACTTCCCAGCTAATATATACCTCTTTCTACCAAAGACTTTTTTAACTCAGTTAAAAACCCCATAATTTTAAAAGGATTTTCATCTTGTCTCAGAAAAATTGTTTATTTGTTGAGAATGATCATTAATGTTTTGAATACATTAAAAAAAAGGTCTATGATCTACAAACAACATTAATTTGTACTTTAGTTTTGGTCCTTGGCCATTTGATGAGTGTTAGTGTTTTCACTGCAAAGACAGTGAGGTGCTTCCAGGCACGTACAAGCTAAACAGGATATGCCTATTATGACACATTTTTCTTCTAATCTCTAAAATTTGTTTCTTGACATAAAACAAGAGCAATGGAAATCAAATGGCCATTTTTACTGGCTTCTTAAAATAGACAAGCTGAGGCCTAAAACTTAAATCAGTAATTTGGCACTGCTTTACTTCACTTAAAATGCAAGCACTCAAGAATTTTAATAAAACTACAGCCAAAAAATCTCCATTGTTTCATCAAAAAAGAGAACATGTTAGACCAGTATGGTCTGAGAGTTTATTCACTATATTAATTCACAAGTTTCACAACATTTATTCATGATACACAAGTGTTAGGTTCTTCAGTTTACTTGTCCTGAGAAGCTACCTCACATAAAAATTCTCCACCTTGGACATTTTATAAAAAGACCAATCTTCTCAAAAAGAAATAAACCCCAAATCTCTTGCTGAATATAGAAAAGAATATTTTATATTTAAATCTCTCCCTAGTGTAAAGAATGAGAACAATCACAGAAACAATCCAACATAAAACTGTGCAAACTCTTAAAGGGTAAAGTTTAATTTTGAGTTTTGTATCCAATACAATAATTATATTGTGCAACCTCAAAAAACAATCACTGCATTCTAAGCACTGGACCAACTGACAATTCCAGAGTTATTTGAAGCTGTCCTACCTTAGGCAATACTTTGGAGAAAAAAGTTTGTTCCAAATCTTCAAGGCTGATATGGGGCAAAAACATTTCAGTCAGGATCCTCAAAACACCTGCAATGAAAAGCATTTAAACATTACAGAAAAAAACAATGTGTGATTATCAGAACTACGTAGCTGCCTACCAGAGGAAACCCAGAACTGCATCAAGCAAAAACAGATCAGGTACTTGATTTTGAGAAAGGCAACATAACATTTGCCTTATCTGAAATGCATGAAAACACACATACATCATCTGAAAAATCAAGTGATGGTAACAGCTCCAACATGCACAAAAACATCAAAAAGAGCATCACACCTGACTCAGCTTAGCTGAAGGCTGAGCACAACTGTTTGCCTATAGACTGAGTACTTTCCACATTCCAAACCACCAAGTAGCTGCACGTTTAATGTGCTGTTTGGCACTAATATACAATGTAACCCTGAATTTTAGCAAGACTCTTAAAACAGTTACAAATGAGCCTCCTTTTCTTTTCACTATTAGCTATCACAAGAGCTTTGTCACCTGTAAGATAGCAGCCAAAAAGACAACAAAACACAAGATAATATGCACCCTTCTTTCACATATTTAAAAATCAGAACAGGAAGGGAAAAGCAGCCTTACACACAGAGCTTCTTTATGGGCTTTTATAAAGCTTATTCAACATGCAATTTGTAGAACATGCAAGGTCCAGCAGGATTGCTGAAGCCTCTGAAAGTCACTGGTTGTAGCTTAAGTGTTTTTAAGTAGTGCAGAGTTTATAAGGCAATTGCAACACAACCATCTGTAGGAAGAGGCACTTCTTAGCTACTACTTACGAATATGCTCAGTCCAGTCTTCACACTCTTGATACATCGAGTAAAAACGTTAAAGAAAATCAAACTTGTTCTGCTATTAAGGTTATCTTTAAAGCACTTGCAGAAGTCTCATGTTCATATGGAGGGGATGCTCCATAACCAACAGCAGGCTGATATCGCTGAGTCCCCATATGATCAGAAAAGTGTTTCTAAAATGTATTAGAGAGTAAGTCTTGAGGGTTTGTGGGGTTTTTGGGGGTGTGTGTTTTTTTTTTTTTTTTGTGGTGAGTGGGTTTTGGGGTTTTTGCTTTTGGGGGAGGGAGGGAGAGAGGGAATTGTTAATCTACAGCGCTAGATGAACCACACGCTATTTTCTGATCTTTTATTTCAGGGAAGGGCTGTTGGCAGCCAAACACCCGGCACACGGCTCTTCTATCCCGTGTCAGCCCCTCACAAGGTCCCACCGCTCTCCCCCCCCCAGGTTTACTCGCCCGAACGGCGGGAGGCTGAAGGATGAGCGAGTCCCCGCAGCCCCGCCGGGAAGGATATGAGGAGCCGGGGCAGGACGGCGGGCAGCTCCCGGCGGCACAGCTCCCAGTCCCAGCCGCCCAGCTCCCGCAGGAGCAGCTCGGGGTCCGTCTGGGACATGGTGGCCGCGCTCCCCTCAGGAACGGGCAGGGCGGGAAAGTTCCCCCGCCATCCCAGGAGCCCCCGCGCGTCAGGAAGCGGAAGCGGCTCCACGTGGGAGAAGCGCAGGGAGATCCCGCCCGGCACCCGCGGGTCGGTACCGGCACCGGGAAGGGAAAACCGGGGGGAATAGTCGGCCTGCTGCCTCAGCCGGGCTCCGGGGAAGGGCAGCGGGGCCGCCCTGCGCGGGGAGTTTGCGCTGCTTGAGACGCTGAGTCTGGAATGTGGGTTTCACCGGAATTGCCGGCTGGGCTCATTCTGTGATTCTGTAATTTCCTTGTATTTTTATTATGTGACAGATATGGTCCCCGTAACGCTATGTTTTCTAAAATTTAAATGGTTAGAGGGTGGGCGTTTTTAATCAGAGAATTATCGGGGTTGGAAGGAAGATCATCCAGTCCAACCCCTCTGCCAAGGCAGGGTCACCTGGAGCAGGGGACACAGGAACGTGTCCAGAGAGGGAGACTCCACTACCTCCCTGGGCAGCCTTTTAATGAAAATCAGGATGCTACAATTAGGCTGTCTGTACTGATATTAATGATATGTAAAACTATTTACTCTATTTCCAGCAGTAATTCACCTGGCTATTGGCAAAACATCTGATATGCTACCTGCAAAGTACAAAGTACTCTTTCCTGCAGCAGTACAGACATAAAAATATCCCCTACAAAAAGACAAAAGCCAGAAAAAAAAAAAAAAAACAAAAAACAACCACCTTTGTATCAGCCTTGCTCTTAAATGAGTGTTTCTGGCTGTAATAAATTAAGCTGACATTTTTAAACTGTTGTTCCTGAAAATGGATTTTCGATTTAATTTTGATATTGATGAAAATGAGAACAGTGAAGCAGACACTCACTTCTTGCTGCTGGGCTCTCCAAAACACAAGGAGGAACCTGTGGAACAGAGCAGGAAAACTGCAGATGCTGGAGCAGACTCCATCCCAAGGCCAGGTGCTGCAAAGCACCAGGATGAGGCACCAAAGACAAAGCACTGTGTGAAAGCTGCCAAGGAGCACATTATACCTGGAGATCTCAACAAAATATTGGAAAACAAAGTAATGGAAACAGTACTGGACCTGTATCATGTAAAGGTGTCTGTACTGGAAATGACGTGTTCGGGTGACGCCGACAGCGAAGGCATCGTGTCCAAAAGTGTCTCTTCTCACTCTGATCTCATCCCAGGAGTCTATGAAGGAGGACTGAAAATCTGGGAATGCACCTTCGATCTCGTGGACTACTTTTCTGAGGCTGAAATACAGTTTACCAACAAGACTGTATTGGATCTTGGCTGCGGGGCTGGATTGCTGGGCATAGTTGCCTTAAAAGGTAAAGCTGAAAGAGTCCATTTTCAGGACTACAACAGCACAGTGATTGAGGAAATAACCCTGCCTAACGTGGTGGCCAACTGTGTAAATGAAGGCACTAGTGGAAAGGACAGAAAAACCAGCAAACCTCCTGCCAAGAGGCCCAAGAAAGCAGAGGGCTCACCTGATGTGCTCACCAAATGCAGATTTTTTTCTGGAGAGTGGTCTGAAGTCACCCAGCTCCTGTTAAGCAGCAACAAACCCTTTTCAAAGTATGATATAGTTCTCACATCTGAGACCATCTATAATCCTGATTATTACAGTGCTTTGCATGATACGCTGGCTCAGCTCTTAGATAAAAATGGCCGTGTGTATTTGGCAAGCAAAGTGCATTATTTTGGGGTTGGTGGTGGAGTCTACCTCTTTCAGAAATTCATTGAAGAGAGAAATGTGTTTAAAACCAGTATAATTAAAACAATTGATCAGGGACTGCAGCGATGCATTATGGAAATGACCTTTAAAGATTCCAGTTAAAATTCAACCCCTGGTCCTTAAAAAATAACTTAAAAATGTTTTAATCCTCCTATCTTTGCTTTTTCCTCTGTTATTCCGGTTGACAAATTAAGGATGGTGGTTATTGAAATGTTTAACAAATTCTGTCTGACTAGAAGTAAAGGACTTTTCTGACACTGATTTTGCATGGAAAAACGGAGTTCTGCTTAAAGCAACATCTGTTTATGCTAATTAATTGCCATTGATGTGTATTTAAAAATTAAGGAAGTCACTGTCCCCAGTCCCCCCCTTTCACTTTGTCAGCACCAGAATTGTACATCACAGGAAGGGCTGTGACATACATGACACACATCACGTGGGATGACCCAGGAATGACGTGACATACTGTAGCTGAGTGAGATAATTTAGCATCCTTAATCAGTGCAAGAGGCTTTTCTCGAGGGTTGGGCCTCCCTCAGATGCGGTCTAACTGCAGCCAGATTTGGGCACAGACCACACGCCGGTGAGCTCTGCTGCTTTGCCACCAGAGGGGGATGTGATTGTATTTATCACTTGTGTCCTACCCTGCCAGCGATCTCACAAATCCGGGTAATGTTCCCCTGTGTAAGGCACGCATGACTTGCTCAAACCTTTGAAAAAATGTACCAGAGAATATTTACTGCTGTGGGCTCTGAGTATTCACGTTCAGATTCTGACATACCGCTCTCTATTCAAGCAAGTAATTGGGAAAAGTGATGCTGGTTTAGAAATGAATAAAACAATTCTGTTGCAGAAGCCAACTTGAAAGTCTTGACACAAGAGCAGCTCCTTACAACAACCAACCAATAAGCCTATGAGTGCAACAATGGAGGATGGCAGAACTGAGCTTTAGGTGACAGCTGGGAAAGGAGACAAACCACTGTAATACCACAGTTTAACTACATTGCTGCACTTTTTTTTTTTTTTAAAAAAGGTTTTTCCAGAAATTAACTGCCCCATTTTCAAAAACTTTCTACTGAACACCCACACCTCTTTCATCTCTTCAGCAGTTTGGCAGGACAGAAAGCATTCAGAAAAGCCTGTGTGCAAGGCACTGCTGTTTCTTAGGCTGAAGATAATGATGGTGCTGAAGAAATTGCCTTACCAAAAACACAAACAAACCCAAAGAAATAAAAAACCCTGGTTCTGAGTGCTCAGTGTCACCAGCAACTAAAAAAAAAGTCCATTGCACGTATTGTTTTAACAAAAAACAGACAAAAAGCCATTACACAGCTCTAACATGTAGATCAAGGCTACTGCTTCTCATTGTGCACTGTTTTATTGGGAGTCCTTGCAGAAATATAAAAAAAGAGACAGAAAAAAAAAGAGATAGTCAACCAGTGCAGTAAACTGGATGCAGGGATACTCAGTGTAGGGGGGAAGGGACAACAGTTTGAGGGGATGGAAAAACTTATTACAGCAGGAACCTAAATCACTTTAATTATTGCATAAAAGTTCCCATCACTGAAGACTATGAACATCAGCCTCAAGATTCCTATTTTGACCCTGTTGCTATTAAGACAGAGTCATAGAGGATTTCCTGTACTTTACAGAAGAACCTTAACTACTGTTGTTTCAGACTATTTTAAAGTGGTCCTTTGGAAACTACTGAATCTGGCCTTTCATAGGATAGGAGAGGGAGGAAAAACGCAGTCAGTTGTGCCATGACTGTCGTTGTGCTTTGGAAATTTTTCTCATTGACCCTGAAATTTATTGACAACAGATAACTGCTGGCTACAAACTGAGGAACAAAAGTTTTAGCTTTGGCAGATCAAGAAATTACTGTTAACAGTTTTTGTTAAAACAGGGAAGCTGGAAACAAACTGATTTACCATTTTTCAAACCTTTTTGACAAAGACAAATCATGGCTTGCACACAGGGACTGAATAGATTGTTCTACACCTGCTGAGTCTGGTGCTGTGTCAGAGAACCATAACTGAAATAATAAGAAATGCTGACCACTATGACAAAGAATATGGTTAAGAACAAGAATACCAAGTATTTTTTGATGAGTAAAGGAAGAAGGTACTTACAATCTTCTACTATAACATTTCTTCTAGATAATATCCCATGATCAAACTTGCTGTCTTAGGTTTAAATACTACACTTTTACTGAGTACCTTGCTCAAACACAGCCCTGTTTTTGTGCAAATACAGCATCAGATGTTTTAGGACTTCAGCAGAAGACTGCTAGAGCCATAGTCTCAGTGACTGCACACCTGCAAAACAGGTAACCCCACACAGTATAATTAAATTCCTCTTTCAGAATTACAGATGGGAAATAATGAAGGATGTTTTTCTCAGGTGAAATCAGCAAAATTAGCATTGGGATTTCCATAATTCCAAAAGAGTTCTGGTCTTAAAATTCAGTAGGTACATGCTGAGAAGAAGCAGGATTCAACACTTAGTTCTGTTGGCTGGTTGTTCTGTTGGTGTTTCAACATAAAATACCTGCTTTTTCTCCCCTCATCCCATCCCCTCACATTTTGAATGAGCCATTACAATAAGAAATCCGGTCTAAATTAGGTCTTTCCCGTAAGTGTTGTGGAGGGAAAGATTAAAATCACTCATTAAATACCTCAGGAAACTAAATTAAAAAGCTTGTTTATTTTAACAGGTACTATCCTTACTGATGACTTCCCTTTAAAGAGTATTGGCTAGTTTTGGGAAACGAGGCTATTTAAAAACCAGGTTTGTCTACTGGCAATTACAGTTATTTTACTAGAGCTTAGGGGGGAAAAAAACCCCATGAGAATGGAAGTGGGAAGTGCCCAATTTGCAAATTACTGACCTGTATGCTGTTCTTGGTTACAAGGCACACAGACATTTAATCCTGGTCTGAAATCAAAATCTTAATGCAATCATTATGGCATTTGAAGTGGTGCAGCCCCAGGTTCAAGAGATCCTGCTCTGAGGTGATTGTTGGGGTGGAGATACCTGAACTCTGCTAATGAGGAATGGACTCCAAGTTTTGAGGATAAGAACAGGAAATTCCTCTCTGCTCAACCAAAACAAAGCCACAGAAAGGTGACATAAGATGGGTAACTAGTGTAACAAGGCAGTAACAGTAAGATTTTTTTTATTTGTGATAGAAACTGGACTAAAGCCTCTCAAATTTCATAGTTTTTACTGTAAGAGTCACGTGCACATTGAGAAGAAAAAGCTACTCTATACCATCAGATACTGGTGGATAAGTGCAGCAGGAGCCACAGCAAAGGGAAGAACTAGAATTTATACACAAATACCTCTTGAAGACTGCAAGTCAACAATGTGTTCCCTTGAAATCCACAAGTGAATTAAAGGTAGACTGGCAGGAAACAAAAAAAGTGAAATTTGTAGCAAGTCATTTCACAACAAATAAAGGGCAACATCCTGCCACAAGAGGAAGCAGGTAAGTTAATTCACACACTGTCTGGGTGTACTGGGTTTGCCAGGAGGTGGTTATAACAATTATTGCTGGAAAAAAAGGGAAAGGAGAAAAAAGCATGATTATTCTCATAGGGAATAAAAGTGATACAGGGGAATCAGAAAGAAAGGAGCATTGGCAGAATTTGAGATTGCCATCAATCTGTTATAGGGGAGGATCTTACAGGAACACCACAGACATTGATCATTACTTTTATGGAACACAGATACTGGATTTTCAAAACCATGGAGTAAATCAAAAGATTTAGATCATTGGTGAAGAACTGTAACAGCCAACTCCATCCTCCACACCAATTTTTGTTGATGTGGATAAGATGAAAAGCCTAAAAAGTAATAGAAAAATAAAGGAAACTGAAAAAAAAAACTGTGGTCAAAATATGAGAGAACAGGTTTGGTCCTGTGGTGTTTTAAGCTGATGGCAAAATCTGATGTATCCTAAAATATATCAGTGAGACAGGACTGGATGAAAACAAACTGGAGGTCAGATAAATGTGGAAGTGTTTAATTAGACAGCACATCAAAAGGAGAGGAAAAAGCTTAGAACTACATATTCTGCACAAAGGAATGAAAAATGAGGTATCTCTGGGGATTAATGACAGTATTATAAATTACTGCAGAGTCCAGTTGCTCCAGATTTATGCCTACATACATAGACACATTTAACTTTTATTTATAATCAAAGTACAGCTCACGGTTACAAGTTTTGAACTGCTGATTCTGTTCACAGTTTATTTCTTGTCATCTGACCATGTAATTTCATAGTCTGTATACACTTTCTTCAGTATCTCTACAGTCACTGAGTGATCTGCTTTTCCATAGCCCTGCAAGACAGAACAAATGTTTATTGGACATGTACAGTAAGTCTTCAGAACCATCCAGTTCTTGCCTACACAAATGATCCAGTTGTGATTTGATACTTCAAGTTGTTCACATACAAATCAAATACAGGTTCTAAAAGAATTATTCTTGAATTATCATATTTTTCTTGTTGTCCTTTCCAACTCCCCCCCCCCCCCCAGTTCAAGTTCTAGAAAATAAATGAGGTGGAGTCAAGCAATCTCAAGTGAGAGGATGCTTTTTTCACATAATTTCTCCATTGGAAAGCTTGTTTTAAAGTGTTTCAAACCCCTCAGCCACCATATTTGCTGAATGTTCTTTTAAACCACAGAGATTGCATTGACCCACTTTAATGTATGGGCATACAAACATCTGATTTGGCTCAGCTGAAGGAAAAGGGAATAAGGCACCACATGTGCAAACATTTGAGTACTCTTGTAGCCACTAAAGAAATCAGTCTTCATGTTTTATTTATCTGCAATCTTGCCTTAGCTCATAATTGCTTAGTTTTAAGTATCTGTGCTCTTATGCCACTGCAACTCCAAACTAAGGCAAGGTCAGATGACCCGTGTGATTTTTAACCCTCATTTAAATCACTGCTCAGTGTTACTTTCACTGAAATTTAAACCAGTTGTGGTAGAAGTTGCCTTTCCATTATTGTCTTACGTGACTGAATGTGTTATCTTGATTTCTTATAATAGAACTGCAATTTTTTTTCCCTGTGAAAAAGCCTTTACTGCACAACAGTGCAGTGTACTGATTAAAACCTGTGATTTACGGGCTGCTTTCTTTTTCCAGTAATATTTCATACAACACTTAACTTAGAAGACTGAGAAAAAAATAGCTCAAGACTGCATTATCACACAAAACATGTACTCTTGTTCATCACTGACTCAGCCCCAAGAGGAACAGCTTAAATAAACTGCATTTAAACTGCACAGATTAAAATCGATGTGTTATAAAATTCACACTTCTGAAAAATACCAAATAATGTAGTTATGCCAGTTGTAAAGCAAGAGCTACAGATCACTCTTACGTTGGTAACCACTTTAAAGACCCCATCCAGCCTTGCAAATAGCAACACAACATCTACTTCAAAACCAAGTCAATGACTATTTCTCTGATTTCCATAAAGCACCAGGTTAGTTCTGTTTTAGAATCCGACAAACTTCTAAGTTGAGAGAAGAATTAAACCAATGTAATTAATATATTAACTTCTGACCTGCAACTGAGGTCATCTGGCCCTCCAGGTCTCTGCCTGACAAGCCCTCATGGCAATAAAACTCTGATTTTACATCATGCTCCTCTGTAATCATCAAGGTACCAGAAGCAGAGAAACAAGGTACTTTGCACAGACAACAAAAGCAGGAGTTGACCACTGCCATTAACACTACTTTGGCAGCTGAGTAACATAGGTGTGAAGTCTCACTTAAAAACACAGTTGTGGTGAGGACTTAAAATTACAAGAGTTTAACAGAAGAAGCAGTGCCTTCCCACCCCACATAAATACTACAGAGGGTTTTTTTCTTATGATTCCGGGTGCCAAGAGTCATCTTGGAGCAAAAGCAGCACTAACAAACACTTGATACATTCAAGGCCCAACCTTCACTGCTCATCTAAGGTAAGCAAATTTGAAGTAACCATCACTTACTATAGAAAATTAAAGGAACTTAATAGAACTATTTTCTTCCTGCCTAAATTAAAAGCCTAGAATCTTTGCTCACAGTTATTACTACAGAAGCAGCTATGCTTCATGACTGAGCAACACCAGAGCCAGACTACAGCATTTCCCTACATTAGAGAAATCCTGAACACTTATTGAGTCTTTCCTAAAGAAACTGAGCTTACCTGGAAATGTAAGAAGTAGCAAAAATGCTATTTTTATTCCACAATACACATTACTACATCTCCACCTACTAAAAAATTCACACCTAAACTGGGTCTACTCTTCTCACCCAACACATACACAGAATAACAGACACAATTTAGCTGGCCAACATTTTTTTTGGCAAATAAAGATCATGCAATAACTAAATCAAGTCCCTGTAGCTACAAACGGGCCATTCCTGCTCTAGCAGTAAGATGGAAAGACTGAATCAAGAGATGTCTACTTTCATTTTTTGTCTTGATTATAACTTAACCTAATGCTGAGTAATTACCAACTTTATCTTTTTGGTCTCCCACCCTAAAACTATTGTTTTTCTAATCTATCTCACAAGTGAGCCAGGCGGGTTTTCCAGTTAATGTTTACACTGTGAAGAAAATATCCAAAAGCCACCATACTACAGAACATCAGAGACAAAAGGATTTAAATGAATATGAGATGCACTTACTGTAGAGAGCCCAAACACCCTGATTTTCTTGTCTTTGCTATTGTGATCAATTTTCCCTCCTCCAAGGCACTTGCACTCGTATCCCAGCTTTTCCATCTCAGGATTCACTTTTTCAAATATATGATCTGCACAAGAAGAATGGTGAGAGCCATTAGAATACGCACTAGGCATCAAGTATCTATTTTGCACTCATTTTCCTCCAGCTTTTTCCACCCACAAGAGAGGGATATTTCTCTTCACGGGTATAGAAAAGTACGTTAAGTTTTATTATTTTAGTTTTTTCCTTAGCCCATCTCGTTCTCCTAAATCGGGTTTGGGAATGGCACCTGACAGAGAGACGGGCCCGGCTTTCATGTCACACGAGGGACGTAGAAAGGGGAAAACAGGGGCTTTCTGGGCTGCTCGGGACGGCGGCTCCCGCTCCCCTCAGCCCCGCCGGGGACGGTGACGGGGCCCGGCCGCCGCCCGCTCGCCCCCTCACGCCGCGGGCTGTCACGCACTGTGGAACTCGGCCGCCCCGGTGCCGCGGACGATGTCCCGCTGCTCCCCACCGCCCGGGCGCTGCAGGCGCACCAGGATGTACTTGAAGGTGCCCTCGGGGTCGATCTCCACGTCCCGCACGGCCGCCATGGCGGGGCCTGGCGGGGCTGGGGGCGGGCGCGATGGCGGCGGGCGGGGCTGCGGGCGGGGCGGGGCTGCGTGAGGGCCTCGGGGCGGCCATCGATCAAACAGAGCGGCGTGAGCTGTGGGGCAGCGCTCCTACAGATCACTCTTGCCTTAGTAACCACTTTGAAGACCCCACGGGCAGAGACACTTTACACTATCCCGGGCTGCTCCAAGCCCCATCCAACCTGGTCTTGAACATTCCAGGGATGGGGCAGCCACAGCTCCTCTGGGCAACCTGTGCCAGGGCCTCACCACCCTCACAGGGAAGAATTTCTTTCCGATATTTAGATCTGCCCTCTTTCAGTTTAAAACCGTTCCCCTTGTCACCAGTTCACTGAGAGTAAATTTGTACTGAAATAAATTATCTTTACTGAATTCAAAAAACTATACGATCTTTACTGAATTCAAAA